GGCCGCCATGGCTCCTGCACGGAGCCGGGGCCGAGCGCGCAAGCTCCGCCTTCCCCCACGGCCACTTCCGGAAGGGGGCGGGGCCATCGACTCATTAGCATCCGGCGGGGCCGGGCTCGCCCCGGCCCGCGGCGCCCTCTGCCGGCCCCCGCTAGTTGGGAGCGCGGCGGAGCGACAGCCAGAGTGCGTGCTGGTAAAGAGCGGTGATGGTGTCGCTGATCCATTTGCCTTCCTAGGGTTTTGACCTCCGGCGATGGTGGCAGAGAAGAAAAACTCGCTGCTCAGGGATTTTATAATTCTGCTTCTCAAAAATTAGGAACAGCCCCAGAGTTCAACATGGGCGCGGCAATGGCACACTGATTCCAGCTGTCTGTTCCTGAGGGTTCAAGTGCCTTTAGTCTCTTACTTCAAAACCCACCTGTGGTGACTGTAAATCCCACCCCTGGATCCCGTTTTGCTAACATCTCAAAAACAAAACAAAACAAAACTCACTGCCACCAAATAAATAACGACTTCTAGCAACCCTACAGGACAGCACACAGCAGCGCCTGTTGGTCTGCGGCTGTAAATCTCTACTGGAGCAGAGAGCCTCCTGTTTCTCCCTAAGCGCGGCTGCCGGGCTCAAACTGCTGACCTGGCTGGTGGTTAGCCGCCCAGCACACAGACCACACACACTACGTCAACCAAGGCTCAGAGGAATGATGGCGTCGCCCTCGGGGCTTTTTGCACCACACAGCCACAGCTCCCGACTTCATTGCAATGCAGTTCATGCCTTCTGTCACGCCCAAGCCTGGCTCTGAGGGCTGCAGGTGGTCACAGTGCACCCAACAGCTCCACAACCCTGCCAAACACCAGGAAGGGCATCCAGGCACTGAGCAGAGGGACATAATAGAGGTCTTTGGGAGAGTTGCCTTACGCAAACTGGTGACAATGGTCTCCAATGAGGTTAGCCTTAGTTAGGCCCAACTCACTCAGGACCTCACTCTGAGATAAGGGAAGCATCTGTTACATGTACTAGCTAAATGTATGAACATGGGACTTCCCACATAAGACGGCCGACAACAGGTAGACGGTGCCAAGGACACGATAAAGCATTGCTTAGCCTTTCTTCTGGTCACTGGCTGCAGCTAGAAGTGCACAGAATCGGCCTGTACATCTCCAGTTGTCTTCTTCAGAGCACATAGGACTCTCTGTCCCTTTTCCAACCAGTTCTCAGTATACGCAAAGCAGTCGCATGGGAGACTGAGTACGAATGAACTCTGGGACCACAGGACCCAGGTGGGCTGGTGGAGAGGGAAAAATCCAAACAAGGGTCCATAACCCTCTAGCTGACTTACAGCCACCTTGCAGGGCAGTCAATCTGCCCCCTAGGCTGTGGTCTTTATGGAATCAGACCATCTCTTGCCTGTGGAGATGGGCATCAAGCCAACCACTCAATTTACTTCCCGGCACTTAAAACACTGCACCACCACTTCTATAAAGATTATAGCCTTGGAACCCCCAAGGAAAAGCTCTGCTCTGTCCCACGGTGTCGCTACAAGTCAGTCAACTAAGTAATAGTGAGTATGGTATTTGGGTTTACAGAGCTGGTAGAGTATCATTGACAAGCACCCAACCCAACTCACTGCCATCGAGTCAATTCTCATAGTGACCCTCTAGGGCAGGGTAGAAGTGGCCCTGTGGGTTGCTGAGATTAATTCTTTACAGGACTAAAAAGCTTCATCTTTTTTTCTTGGAGCAGCTGGTGGTTTTGAACTGTTGACCTTGAGATTAACAGCATAATTTGTAATCCACAGTGCCACCAGGGCTGCTTGACCATCATTGGTGAAGTATTTATGTCTTGCAAGTACTCACTCACTGCCAGGGACCTATAGTGAGTCCATAGGATAGAGCAAAATTACGGTACTTCTCTGGGTTTCTGAGGCTGCAT